CCCAGATTGTAAATTGCCCTAACTGCACGTTTCTGCAGGACAAAGATTCTATTGATATCGGCGGCATTACCCCAAAGCAAAATGCTTAATGCAAAATATGTTATTAGACTGTGAAAGTAGCTGAAGTAAACCAATCTAGCGGTTTCGACGTCTGAAAGTTTCCTTATTTTTTTAATCGCGTACACTGCAGAGCCGAGCCGTTTTGATAACTTACTTATATGAGGACCCCATTGCAATTTAGCATCTAACGTTATACCTAGAAATACAACTGTATCCACAAGATTCAATTTTTCGTTTCTAACTACAATGTTTGTAACCGTCTATAACATTGGGTAATGTAAATTTCACACAATTTGTTTTTTTCTCATTAAGAATAGAATAGAATAGAATAGAAATTGTTTATTCACGAAAACAACATAGTACACATATATTTAAATTGTACGATACATAACATAAGACGGAAAGAAAGACTAAAGCATAACATTTAAATATTACACGTGCACATATTACACAAATAAGAAATATTAATATTGTAACAAATAATCAAGTAACAAGCCATAAAAAGTGCGTGCTGTGCTGTTACGGAATCCGTCATCCACTCAGCTTGGTGTCGTCTCACTGGAAGTGCTACGACGCTGATTTTCAGTGGATCCAGCAACAGAGTCAAAGTGGACGAAACTTATGTACGATTTGTTGCACTTTATATTGTAGTTGTAAACAAGTGTGATTCCATATAATTCTTATAATGAATAATAATTATGAATTAACTAAAATGGCAATAAGATAAAATAGTAAAATAAAATAAAATAAAAATCATCAAAATGAAAAATTAAATAAAAAATATAACGGATAAAAACGTACACACCCCCGACACAACAACAGCTACGCTAGAGATTGCTGAATATTAAGTAAATAAGCTTTGAATGATCTTTTAAAAAAATAAAGTGATGTAGCATTTCTTATAGGCGGCGGAAGATTGTTCCAGCATTTCGAGGCAGCGTAGCGAAAGCTACCTCGAAAACTTGCTGTTCCATGTCGAGGACATAGGAGGCGACAAGCATGTCTAACGTGCATGGTTGAGAATTTGAGCTTATCATAGAGGTACGATGGTTGCTTGGTCTTAATTACCCCAAATAATAGTATAGCGAAATGTAATTGGCGACGGGCCTCCATCTTCAACAATTTCGAATTGTTCATAAAAGGGGTGACGTGCTCCCGACGTGTGATAGGGAAGCAATACCTAGCGCACGCATTCTGCAGGCGCTGAATAAGACACTTTGTGCGGGCGAGTAAACATCCTCCGAATACAGTGTCAGCGTAGTTCAATCTTGATAAAATTAGCAAGTCACAGAGCTTAATACGCAAATCAACGTTAATGAAGTTTCTCACGCGGTACAGTACCTTCAGGCGATAAAAACAATTTCGGACTGTTTCAAGGATATGTTCTTCAAAGTTAAGGGAACCATCCATAAGAACCCCCAGATTTCTCGCCACAGATACTCGGCCTACAGAGTTACCCGCTATGGACACTTGTGGGTGATTGGACGCGATCTTTTCAATTTGACATTTCGAACCAAGTATGAGAAACTTCGATTTGCTCGGATTTAGTACCAGACTGTTGAGCTCTGACCATTGGGCAACTTTAGAGAGATCCTCGTTCAACTGTCCAACTGCAGTGCGGGTTACAAGACGATTAAATGAAATGTAAATTTGTAGATCATCGGCATATAGATGACATCTGCAATTCTTAAAGCAATCCACAATATCTGCGGTGTACAGAATGAACAAGACTGGTCCGAGGATGGACCCTTGAGGAACCCCTCTAGCAACTGATGCGGCACCAGAACGCATGAATGAACCATCCACACCGCTCACCTCCACTTGCTGTACACGGCCACTGAGATAACTGGAAAACCACTTAATAGTGTTACAGTCGAACCCATAATAAACGAGTTTAGCCAGTAAAAGTTGTATATCCACAGTATCGAAAGCACGTGAAAAATCAAGTAACGCTAGAATGGATCCCTCACCAGCGTCACGCGCCGCCAACACATCATCTACCACGTCCAGCAGCGCGGTGGCAGTGCTGCGACCCTTCCTGAAACCCGACTGTTTTGATGGCAAGATACCGTTGGTCTCTAGGTAATCTGTAAGCTGCCAACACACTACCTTTTCGATGATTTTTGACATGTATGGTAAAACACTTATAGGTCGTAAGTCATTGAAGTGTGATGGTATGTTTATCTTTGGAATAGGTCGAATTATTGCCGTCTTCCAGAGCTCAGGGAATGCACAGGTCTCGATCGATTGATTTACCAGGGCCGTAATTAGTTTTAGAGTCCGCGGTAGGGTAAGTAACACCATATCGCGAGAAATATCATCTACACCCATGGCGCCACTTTTAATTGACAAAATAGCTCTCGATACAATTGCCTCTGAAACGACGCGAAGTTTAAAAACCGCGGAACCACGCCTACGAGTGGAAAAATATTTTAAGTGTGCTTTATCAATGTTACGGGGTGGTAAATCAAGAAAATGTGCATTTATTTTGTCAGGGTCTTTTAAATGTAGGGGGATGTCACGATCTTTTGCCTTGAAATCAGCCACGTTTGCTCTTATATTCCTCCACAAATCGCGCGGTTTATTGGCGTTTGAGACAATACATTGCTGGAAAAATGTAGCTTTCTCGGCACTTATCGCGGACAAAACTATCTTTTTCAGATCTTTATAATATTTTTTATGAGTATCCATCCCAGTATTTCGATACCTGTGATGAGCCTCGTCGCGCAGCCGCATCATTTTCCTAACATTATATGTAAACCAAGGGAGCATCCTCTCCCGCACTACAATTTTCTTCTTAGGCGCATAACTATTGAATAAGTGATGCATGTAGGCATTAAAGTTCTCAACAGAGGCGTTTAAGTTACTCGATAGCAGCCGCTCCCAATTAATCGTATTTACATCGGAGTTGAACGCATCCATGTCAATATCAGTGAGCGGACGGTAAATAATATGTTTTGGGGGTACTTTACATTTTTTTATATCAAATTTACCAGAAATGAATGCATGACTGCCAAGATCTGGCAAATAATCAATGCGAAGATCAGTGATTTTCATACTCGAGCTAATAACATCAATCAATGTCTCACTGTGATCAGTGAAGTGTGTTGGCTGCTTGACATATTGTTCAAGATTGAAGCAGCATAAAAATTCTAATGAATGATAAAGAAGTAGGTTATTAACAGCAAACCAATCAACTACTTTAGATATAGCATTGTTCACATCGTCGTAGGAACATTGGTGCCTTTTAACTTTAAATAATAAGGAAGTATCATCAGCAAACAATACTATATCATGTTTTATATCCTCCATAAGGCTAGGTAAGTCATTAATATAAACTAAAAATAAAAATGGGCCTAGAATTTAACCTTGAGGGACACCCATGCTAATTGCAGATCCTGACGATCTCGTACCGTTAACATCGACCCTCTGTACCCTACCACGCAAATACGATTTAAGAAGGTCGAGATCACGTCCCGCCACACCATAATGGCGAAGTTTCCTGACCAGTGATATTTGACACGTGTGGATACGTCTCTGATAGCGCTAGCACTTTGTTGTCCCAATTAATTTTATAAATAAAGATAATGAAGAAGATAATTATCAAAGTATATTTATCAATATATAGCGTGTGACAGGCTTCCTCCTAGGCCAAGTCGAGATAGACCCCGGGCTCGTTACCAGACGGATTGAACTCTGGTCTGCGTCGGTTGGTCCGGTTGCGCGCGCGTCATGTTGCACAGTCGGATATGATACACGACGGCACTTGGACGCGCTCACCATTCACGCCTGTTTATCTTTTCGTATAATTTAGTACGTGTTGCACGTGTCCTATTTTTAACCGACTTCAAAAAAGGAGGAGGTTCTCAATTCGACTGTGTTCTTTTTTTTGTATGTATGTTACGCGATGACTCCGGTATTTGTGAACCGATTTTCATGATTCTTTTTTTGTTGGAAAGGGGATACTTCCATAGTGGTCCCATTTCATTTGAAGAAAATCATCCACCTCGAAAAGTGGCTGTTCACGCATGAAGATTCATTTTTATAAATAGCGCTATAACTTTAATTTAGGAGCAATTACTTAATGGTTAATTTTGCTATTTCTCCAATTCAAGGCTTTTTTCTCTCAATATACTTTGAGTAGTGAGAACCGATTTTTATTATCTCCAGTGTCAAGTCCTGTGTGGTGGCGAACTAGGGGATATTTCAATAAAGCTTAGCAAAAAGACGTAATTCCACGTACTTTCGAGGTCGGTTTTTTTAGTACTCTGTACTGAGATTATTCTATACTGTGTATGTTGTCAGTCGTTAATAAACTGCGAGTGTCTAGATTAGTACTGTGTTTTATTTATGGCATAGGGCAGCTCCAAATATAATTATCGTAATAATTGTCAACGATAATGATCACTTAGAAATCTGATTATTTATAATTTTTAACAATAATAACTAACTTTAAATAATAATTAACTGCCTACGTAACCGAATGGTAACCATACTCAACTGCCACGCAGAGGTACCGGGTTCGATTCTCGGGTCGGGATATATTTGTGTGGCCTACATTTACTTCTCTCGTGAGTTTGAGTCACCCGCGTGTATGTACGGCACCTGCGACACAGGGTTTCCTTAGTGCGTGCGTTATTATTATAATTTCTTTTTTAAATAATTTGATAATAAAGTATAGTCTGTCCCAATCCATTTTAGGCGAAAAGTAAACAAACAAGCCACTGACCCAACCATAGACGGTTTAGTGAGGGCAATTGTAATGGCAACTACAAATCGATTAATTAATTGAATGAATAGATTTGTTTAATTGAGTTATACCAGCGGTTTTCCTTACATAACCTTTAAAAGCATATTTAAAATTTCCGAAATCTTCATTTCAAATCCTCCTTCAAATCCTCACACTTACATACTCGTTTGATTGCGATTAAAATTTTCGATTTACTAATCGATTACAAAAACTTTAATTAAATGAACCGAATGTTTTTTCCGTACAGCACTATGCAACCACAGATTATTCATACATCTATAAATAAAACAATTACCTCACTTTTTGACTATCATTTTTCAAATACGATTTTACGATGTTATTCAAGTGAATGTCGTTGGAAAAAAATATGAGATATCAAGTCAAAAACTTCGAAATATACGTGAAAACGTCACTTATTCGATTTATTGAGCGATTGCTTTAAAATTGTAAACATAACGTTTTGTTTACTTTTCGTCTAAAACATTTTTTGACACTTTAATTTCAATTCGTATATAAAATGCGCCGCGTCACACTCAAACTGTGGATATCAATAGACAATCGCTATTAAATAATCAATGCCGACTGTTATCTATCGATATATAATATTGTTTTACATGTAAACATCTATTTAACCACGTTTAATAATTTATCCAATATATGTAACAGCGAAATCAAATAGCACTTACCCATATATCCCATATTGCCTCTAACAGTGGCTCGTAACAAATCGTTGAACGCATCCCAACTGTTCCCGGCCAGCCGGTCTCTGTGGTTCTGTCTTGTCAAGGATCCGTTAGCGAAACATAATAAGGCCATGTACGGCGCGTCTGGCGTTGGCCCCACGAGGACGTGCCCTGCGGGAGGGGCCGCGGTTTCTTGCAGACCTAGGAGGAGAGTGTCGCTTGTTCCTAGACTTAGACCCACCCAGCCGGAACGCAATTGAAGACCTGAGAACAGAATTTTTACTGTGTTAACATGAAACCACTAAAGGTAATAGTACTGAACATCGAGTATGTAACCAGAAATAGAGACCAAATAAGGAGTATCCATCCCTAGCAACTCATTAGGCAAATGGGCCATATATCACTTTTAAATGTCAACTCTCGTTTGCGCTGAAATCACAATTTAAAAAGCTGAAATAGTACAGCGCCAACAACTGACCTATGTGTATGTCGCCGTATATTCCAAAAATATTCTGTATATTATTGTAATAAAGATAATATCTCTCAACGAGAGGCTGTTCCATTCGGTGTTGTGGGAAAAACAGCAAAACGTCTAATTTCAAAACAAACGGAATCACATTTCATCGGTAATTAAATATGTAATTTTTCAATTTTCGTTCGTCTAGCAAAGCTCAAGTTAAACTGGTCGATTTGAGGTGAAAAAATTGACGACACCCGTCAATTATTTTGAATTCGAGCTGGCCAATCGGAGCGCAGATTAAATAACATTTCGTCTCTTTTTTTGGGTATATACTCGATGGTACTGGTGCACTATCCCTATTTACATTGCAAAAAAACTTATTCGAATAATAGCGAACCTTAAAGAAACAGATAAGTGCCGACCTCACTTCCAAAATAACAATTTACTCACGCTTCTCTCAATATATATCTCTGTAATGCAAGCATTTCTGCGTTCCGGTTTTGAAGGGTAAGGGTGCTGGTGAAATTACAGGCATATGGGATTTATCAACTTTGTCTCAGAGTAACGGGCGCAGTGGCAGTACCCCTCAGATCTTTGCGATTTAAAGCTCTGAGTGGCACTGCAACTGTTATGGACAGGTGTGTGTGTAGCTTTCCTTCAGGCGCACGAATTGTTAATTCCATCACTTGATATTATAAAAAAAATATGCCTCGTGAATAAATAATAACTGGAAATCAATTCGGGGCAAACTAAATGCCCGGAACTCTTATTGCAACTTCGGTTTTCTATACCTCAGCGCAACTGACTGACTGACGCGCTGTCACTGTGCCCGTGCACAGTGACAGCGCCCCTTAAATCTTTGTGAGCTCTGAGAGGCACTGCAACTGCTATGGACAGGCGTGTCGCTTACCAGCAGGCGCACGACTTGTTTGTCCCGTCATTTGGTATTATAATTACAAAAAAAATCGACCTCAAATGTACGTGGAATCCCACCTATTTGCCAAGTTTTATTGAAATCGGTTACCGGAATATTTTCTTCAAATTTAAATGAGACCAATACTGAAGTACCCTCTTTCTAACAAAAAAGAATCTCCAAATTCGATTCACAAATTCCGGAGTAATTGCGTAACACACATACAAAAAAATACAGACGAATTGAACCTCGCCGTTTTTTAAGTCGGTTAAAAACCATTGATTTTATAAAAATACGGTTAATTACGTGTACGGGCGAAAAAATATATAAATGTTACTTACATAAATCGAGTAAACTGAGATAACGTGTTATCAAAATATAGAAGTATAAAGGCGCGGCTTATCGTCGAGTGGCGGGTCGGCACATTCTTGTCAATCTTATCAAGCAATCGCAGTAAGTAATTGCATTTTAACAATGAAACTCTTGAGAGCTAACATGTGAATTGCTTTATAATCAGCAAAGACCGGCAGAGCGTATTTACCCAACCTTGAAGTAATACACATGGACTGGGTAACAACTCTACGATATCTTTGAATTATTCTATTGTATTCAACGATATCTAAGTCCTAGCGTACTAGATACGGCGTTCCATATAGACGCTGTGTTTCACAGACGTGCGGTGAAGACGCTACACAACATTGGCGGACGCAGATGCGGTCCTCTTTGAAAATGAATTTACATCGGTGTGCTGCTCGCATTTCGCTATTTGACCAATTGTGTGAAAATAAATTTACTTTTTTTTAATTATTCACATTGATTCGGTAAGCAATGTTGTGGTTTTTGATTAATTTGTGCATTATATAATATTTGATAATCGCGAAACACTATGCAAAATTTCACACTATCGATCTCGTTTTTGCAAGCAATAATGGCGCGTGTTAAATACAAGACACACGTAAACCATAGATTAATAAGCAACAGAGTGTTCTGACTACACAATAACAGAGTATATATAATTTTAATAAAACAGTTACTATGGCTACCATATAAATTTAAAAAATATTAAAAATTTGGCTCAGCGATATCTATGTTCTTGAGAAGATTTTTTATATGTGAATCGACACGTGCTAAAGTGTTGATACAACTTCAAATGACTTTGGTTGACTCCACATAACAGTGAAAGTTTTGAATTATATATATATGTATATATATATGTATAAATATAATTTTTAAATTAAGTATATACACACCGTGAAAACACGATTCCCGAAATTTTCACAATACAAAAATACAGAAATTTACCCCGAAATTTTACAAGAAAACCGCTGTATTCAATGTATGTTGCATATACCAATGATTTTTTTTTACATAATCTGGACTATGTAAATATAACACGTATAGTATACGACATACATTTTTCAAACGGCTTTAATTTCGTTAATAAAAAATTAAATTCGGAAATAAAACCAGTGTCGTTATTAAATCCTGAAATAAAACCGATCCTTTATCCTGCCGCTCGACCCGCACAATAGAACATATTATTCAGTACTGGAAAAAATTTAATCTCTTAGACTCTCTCTAAGACTCTTAATAACTACCAAAAAACTTGTTCCCTGCATAAAAAAAACTTGATAACTTACCAGCGAGAGCGGAGCAGTTATCTCCCGTAAAGGCGACCACGCTACACTTAGGATCAAATCCATATCGCTTCACAAAGTAGGAAGATATTGGACCCAAGTGAGATGCTGTGGGCACCGGCTCACCCAATTTGCTTTCTAGCGTTTCGTCCCCGCACGCCTAGAGGAATGTGAATTAAAAAAATCATTGGAACCACATATAGACTCCATTTTTAAAAGACAACGCGTCTACAGGTGAAGGTCGCAGTTATCATAAGGTATGGACTCTATAATATTACTTATATCAGTTATTATAAGATATTGGTATTAGAAGAGTATATTTTTATCTGTACCTAACAATTACTTTAGTGAGATTGTGCATTTAGAAGACAGGGATCAAGTAAATAACCAGAAATAAACACGAAATGTCATTTAATTAGTTTGAAAACTATTCTGTTAAATCATTACAGTGTCAACTGCGCTCCGATTGGTCGGCCCGAATTCGAAACATTTGACGGATGTCGTCAATTGTTTCACTTCAAAACGACCAGTTTAACTTGAGCTTTGTTATAATGGACGAAAAATGGAAAATTACATATTTAATATTTAATTACCGATGAAATATGATTCCGTTTCTTTTTTACAATTAGATGTTTTGCTGTTTTTCCCACACCACCGAATGGAACAGCCCCCATTGTTAGAGATATTATCTTTATCTTTATTTAATACAGAATATTTTTGGAATATATACATACGTACACACAGGTCAGTTGTTGGCGCTATACTATTTCAGTTTTCTAATTTGTGATTTCAGCGCAAACGAGAGTTGATATTTAAAAGTGATATGAATGAGGCCCATTTGTGTTATGTTTTGTGTACGTGTGTATATGTAATAGTTTTTTCAAACATGCTTGGAAATGTTTTCAAAAAACGTACACGGAAAGTTTGTCATTTATAGACCGTGCGAATTCTTCCCGGCCAAGGCCTGCAAAGTATGAAAATCCGTTACTGTCTGCTTTTTCAAACTTTTAAATCTGTAATAAATGCTAATTATTTCATTGCCTCTGTGGCCGAACGGTTACCATGCCGGACTGCCACGCAAAGGTCCCAAGTTCGATTCCCGGGCCGGGAGAAATATTTGTATGGCCTACATTAATTTCTCTCGTGAGTTTGGGTGTAATTTGTGGTTGTCTATTTGTATGTCCATGGCACCCGCGACACAGGGTTTCCCTAGTGCGGGGCTATGTTGAGTGTGTGCGTTATTATTATTAATTATAATATTATTGCTAATAATGAACTATGTAAAAAATCATACAGTCAACTGTCCACTGTTCGTAAATGCGATAATTAAAAAAATACCTCCCTTTACCGCCTATTTAAAAAAATGGTACCGCCTTTTCTTTTAACAATAATTGTCCTACCGTGTCAAATATTAGGTACTTTTTAAATTAATTATTTTTTGTCTTCCCCTCTTTAGCCGTTCATTATTTTGTCACATTGTTTGAGAAAAGCACTAGATATGCCTCGGCGGGAACGGGGATTTCTTGACTCGTATCGTTCCGTGGCCTCGCGCTCAACCTTGTAACTCATACTCGTCCAGGCATCCCTTACTTACAAACCTCTGCAATAATGTACTAGAAACTTACTTCCAAAGCTCTTTGACACCATTTCTTGCTATGTATATCCAGGAGATTCATGCCAGAGCCATCAGATAGATCTATAGGTGCGATCTTGCCGAGGAATAGCGAGCAAGCGAAGGAGGACACGAGTGATATACGCTCGGCGGCTTGGTAGATGCGTGGACGTACACGGCGCATCTTACGGATTTGAGGGCCTGTAAAGCGCTCGTATGCGCAGGAGCCTGTGATTTTTGCTAGTTCCTGAAAAGTAGACGATTTCTCAGTGTGAATTGTGTGTAAAAACTACACAACAAAGAGATTAATATAATTGTTATGAATAATCTATGTTAACTTGTTGGCACTTTTGAAATCTACCGTAAGTATAGTATTTGTATTGTAAAAAAATTGGACTTAAATACGTAAGTTATTCGTTATTAACCGAAATTATAAAAAAGAGGAATTCTCAATTCAACTCTATTTTTTTTTGTATGTATGATACGCGATAACGGCATTTGTGAACCGATTTTGATCATTCTTTTTTGTTGGAAAAAGGTACCTCACAGTAGTGGTCCCATTTAAATTTGAAGAAAATATTCCACCTCTATGGGTGGCAAACTAAAATTCAAAAATTCCAAATTCAAAATAATCTTTATTTCATAGGTAAGCATTATTACACTTGAAACCGTCACAATAGTTAAACTCTACCGCTCATTCGTAAGGCAGATTCCCCTGAGAAGAATGAGCAAGAAACGATTGGAGTTGCTCTTTGTAAATAACATTTACATTATGAAACATCAGAGATCGAGACTACCTCTATGAGCTAAACGGGTTACTACCACGGATTTTTGTCATCCAAGTACGCAGAAGTTGTATAATAACCTTTAGTATAAAGTTTTTGTTTCACTATAGTTTTAAACCTCGTGAAAGGCAAATTTTGTATATCAACCGGAATCTTGTTATAGAAGCGTATACATTGCCCCTTAAATGATTTTTTGGCTTTGTGAAGACGACTATCAAGAAAAGCTAGTTTATTTCTATTCGTCGTATTAATGGTATGTCTGTCACTATTTTTCATAAATAAATTACTATTCCTTTTAACATAAATTACATTTTCATAAATGTACTGTGAGGCTAGTGTAAGAATGTTAATTTCCTTAAACTTATCTCTCAAAGATACTTTGGGACCCAGATTGTAAATTGCCCTAACTGCACGTTTCTGCAGGACAAAGATTCTATTGATATCGGCGGCATTACCCCAAAGCAAAATGCTTAATGCAAAATATGTTATTAGACTGTGAAAGTAGCTGAAGTAAACCAATCTAGCGGTTTCGACGTCTGAAAGTTTCCTTATTTTTTTAATCGCGTACACTGCAGAGCCGAGCCGTTTTGATAACTTACTTATATGAGGACCCCATTGCAATTTAGCATCTAACGTTATACCTAGAAATACAACTGTATCCACAAGATTCAATTTTTCGTTTCTAACTACAATGTTTGTAACCGTCTATAACATTGGGTAATGTAAATTTCACACAATTTGTTTTTTTCTCATTAAGAATAGAATAGAATAGAATAGAAATTGTTTATTCACGAAAACAACATAGTACACATATATTTAAATTGTACGATACATAACATAAGACGGAAAGAAAGACTAAAGCATAACATTTAAATATTACACGTGCACATATTACACAAATAAGAAATATTAATATTGTAACAAATAATCAAGTAACAAGCCATAAAAAGTGCGTGCTGTGCTGTTACGGAATCCGTCATCCACTCAGCTTGGTGTCGTCTCACTGGAAGTGCTACGACGCTGATTTTCAGTGGATCCAGCAACAGAGTCAAAGTGGACGAAACTTATGTACGATTTGTTGCACTTTATATTGTAGTTGTAAACAAGTGTGATTCCATATAATTCTTATAATGAATAATAATTATGAATTAACTAAAATGGCAATAAGATAAAATAGTAAAATAAAATAAAATAAAAATCATCAAAATGAAAAATTAAATAAAAAATATAACGGATAAAAACGTACACACCCCCGACACAACAACAGCTACGCTAGAGATTGCTGAATATTAAGTAAATAAGCTTTGAATGATCTTTTAAAAAAATAAAGTGATGTAGCATTTCTTATAGGCGGCGGAAGATTGTTCCAGCATTTCGAGGCAGCGTAGCGAAAGCTACCTCGAAAACTTGCTGTTCCATGTCGAGGACATAGGAGGCGACAAGCATGTCTAACGTGCATGGTTGAGAATTTGAGCTTATCATAGAGGTACGATGGTTGCTTGGTCTTAATTACCCCAAATAATAGTATAGCGAAATGTAATTGGCGACGGGCCTCCATCTTCAACAATTTCGAATTGTTCATAAAAGGGGTGACGTGCTCCCGACGTGTGATAGGGAAGCAATACCTAGCGCACGCATTCTGCAGGCGCTGAATAAGACACTTTGTGCGGGCGAGTAAACATCCTCCGAATACAGTGTCAGCGTAGTTCAATCTTGATAAAATTAGCAAGTCACAGAGCTTAATACGCAAATCAACGTTAATGAAGTTTCTCACGCGGTACAGTACCTTCAGGCGATAAAAACAATTTCGGACTGTTTCAAGGATATGTTCTTCAAAGTTAAGGGAACCATCCATAAGAACCCCCAGATTTCTCGCCACAGATACTCGGCCTACAGAGTTACCCGCTATGGACACTTGTGGGTGATTGGACGCGATCTTTTCAATTTGACATTTCGAACCAAGTATGAGAAACTTCGATTTGCTCGGATTTAGTACCAGACTGTTGAGCTCTGACCATTGGGCAACTTTAGAGAGATCCTCGTTCAACTGTCCAACTGCAGTGCGGGTTACAAGACGATTAAATGAAATGTAAATTTGTAGATCATCGGCATATAGATGACATCTGCAATTCTTAAAGCAATCCACAATATCTGCGGTGTACAGAATGAACAAGACTGGTCCGAGGATGGACCCTTGAGGAACCCCTCTAGCAACTGATGCGGCACCAGAACGCATGAATGAACCATCCACACCGCTCACCTCCACTTGCTGTACACGGCCACTGAGATAACTGGAAAACCACTTAATAGTGTTACAGTCGAACCCATAATAAACGAGTTTAGCCAGTAAAAGTTGTATATCCACAGTATCGAAAGCACGTGAAAAATCAAGTAACGCTAGAATGGATCCCTCACCAGCGTCACGCGCCGCCAACACATCATCTACCACGTCCAGCAGCGCGGTGGCAGTGCTGCGACCCTTCCTGAAACCCGACTGTTTTGATGGCAAGATACCGTTGGTCTCTAGGTAATCTGTAAGCTGCCAACACACTACCTTTTCGATGATTTTTGACATGTATGGTAAAACACTTATAGGTCGTAAGTCATTGAAGTGTGATGGTATGTTTATCTTTGGAATAGGTCGAATTATTGCCGTCTTCCAGAGCTCAGGGAATGCACAGGTCTCGATCGATTGATTTACCAGGGCCGTAATTAGTTTTAGAGTCCGCGGTAGGGTAAGTAACACCATATCGCGAGAAATATCATCTACACCCATGGCGCCACTTTTAATTGACAAAATAGCTCTCGATACAATTGCCTCTGAAACGACGCGAAGTTTAAAAACCGCGGAACCACGCCTACGAGTGGAAAAATATTTTAAGTGTGCTTTATCAATGTTACGGGGTGGTAAATCAAGAAAATGTGCATTTATTTTGTCAGGGTCTTTTAAATGTAGGGGGATGTCACGATCTTTTGCCTTGAAATCAGCCACGTTTGCTCTTATATTCCTCCACAAATCGCGCGGTTTATTGGCGTTTGAGACAATACATTGCTGGAAAAATGTAGCTTTCTCGGCACTTATCGCGGACAAAACTATCTTTTTCAGATCTTTATAATATTTTTTATGAGTATCCATCCCAGTATTTCGATACCTGTGATGAGCCTCGTCGCGCAGCCGCATCATTTTCCTAACATTATATGTAAACCAAGGGAGCATCCTCTCCCGCACTACAATTTTCTTCTTAGGCGCATAACTATTGAATAAGTGATGCATGTAGGCATTAAAGTTCTCAACAGAGGCGTTTAAGTTACTCGATAGCAGCCGCTCCCAATTAATCGTATTTACATCGGAGTTGAACGCATCCATGTCAATATCAGTGAGCGGACGGTAAATAATATGTTTTGGGGGTACTTTACATTTTTTTATATCAAATTTACCAGAAATGAATGCATGACTGCCAAGATCTGGCAAATAATCAATGCGAAGATCAGTGATTTTCATACTCGAGCTAATAACATCAATCAATGTCTCACTGTGATCAGTGAAGTGTGTTGGCTGCTTGACATATTGTTCAAGATTGAAGCAGCATAAAAATTCTAATGAATGATAAAGAAGTAGGTTATTAACAGCAAACCAATCAACTACTTTAGATATAGCATTGTTCACATCGTCGTAGGAACATTGGTGCCTTTTAACTTTAAATAATAAGGAAGTATCATCAGCAAACAATACTATATCATGTTTTATATCCTCCATAAGGCTAGGTAAGTCATTAATATAAACTAAAAATAAAAATGGGCCTAGAATTTAACCTTGAGGGACACCCATGCTAATTGCAGATCCTGACGATCTCGTACCGTTAACATCGACCCTCTGTACCCTACCACGCAAATACGATTTAAGAAGGTCGAGATCACGTCCCGCCACACCATAATGGCGAAGTTTCCTGACCAGTGATATTTGACACGTGTGGATACGTCTCTGATAGCGCTAGCACTTTGTTGTCCCAATTAATTTTATAAATAAAGATAATGAAGAAGATAATTATCAAAGTATATTTATCAATATATAGCGTGTGACAGGCTTCCTCCTAGGCCAAGTCGAGATAGACCCCGGGCTCGTTACCAGACGGATTGAACTCTGGTCTGCGTCGGTTGGTCCGGTTGCGCGCGCGTCATGTTGCACAGTCGGATATGATACACGACGGCACTTGGACGCGCTCACCATTCACGCCTGTTTATCTTTTCGTATAATTTAGTACGTGTTGCACGTGTCCTATTTTTAACCGACTTCAAAAAAGGAGGAGGTTCTCAATTCGACTGTGTTCTTTTTTTTGTATGTATGTTACGCGATGACTCCGGTATTTGTGAACCGATTTTCATGATTCTTTTTTTGTTGGAAAGGGGATACTTCCATAGTGGTCCCATTTCATTTGAAGAAAATCATCCACCTCGAAAAGTGGCTGTTCACGCATGAAGATTCATTTTTATAAATAGCGCTATAACTTTAATTTAGGAGCAATTACTTAATGGTTAATTTTGCTATTTCTCCAATTCAAGGCTTTTTTCTCTCAATATACTTTGAGTAGTGAGAACCGATTTTTATTATCTCCAGTGTCAAGTCCTGTGTGGTGGCGAACTAGGGGATATTTCAATAAAGCTTAGCAAAAAGACGTAATTCCACGTACTTTCGAGGTCGGTTTTTTTAGTACTCTGTACTGAGATTATTCTATACTGTGTATGTTGTCAGTCGTTAATAAACTGCGAGTGTCTAGATTAGTACTGTGTTTTATTTATGGCATAGGGCAGCTCCAAATATAATTATCGTAATAATTGTCAACGATAATGATCACTTAGAAATCTGATTATTTATAATTTTTAACAATAATAACTAACTTTAAATAATAATTAACTGCCTACGTAACCGAATGGTAACCATACTCAACTGCCACGCAGAGGTACCGGGTTCGATTCTCGGGTCGGGATATATTTGTGTGGCCTACATTTACTTCTCTCGTGAGTTTGAGTCACCCGCGTGTATGTACGGCACCTGCGACACAGGGTTTCCTTAGTGCGTGCGTTATTATTATAATTTCTTTTTTAAATAATTTGATAATAAAGTATAGTCTGTCCCAATCCATTTTAGGCGAAAAGTAAACAAACAAGCCACTGACCCAACCATAGACGGTTTAGTGAGGGCAATTGTAATGGCAACTACAAATCGATTAATTAA